TATATATATATATATATATCAGCAATTTCCACCCCATCACTGTGGAAAAGAAAACAATGATGGCAGATAAGAAATCCCGTTTCCACTGAATTTTCTTAGTGTTCATCTCTTTTTTCTCTCCCACTCACATCCACTAACCCTTTTAAAGTTTTAAATAATCCCACCACTAACACCTTAGCTATGTACTAAATTCAAAGGCAGAATTCAATATTGACTCTATTTCTACTTCCCAGTGACTTTTAAATTAATTCCTAAAGAACCTAAGGTCCCTTTGCACCTAATTATGATAGCATGTATTACAAAGCAAAATACAGTGGACCCTTGACTTACAAACTCGATCAGTTCCTGGAGGGCTGGTTGTAACTCAAGTTGGTTGTAAGTCAATATAGCTGATATCTGGATGGTTATCTGGGTATATGCTACAGATAGCAAGAGCAGATGAATCTTCCATTAACCTAATTAACCCAAGTTAATCTTATGCCAGGCAGGTCGTAACTTGAGGGTCCAGTGTACTTGCGTCATATATTAAATTCAGCTAGTAATATGTTGTTACTTTAAAACATACACACACCTATAAACAAGATGTTAGGATATACACAAAGGAAACTAACATGTAAGGGCCAGGATATACTAAAGCATAAAGTTTTGGTAGCTATATTAATAAAGAAAACAGTAGCAATGTGGTACAGTATAAACACTAGAATGGGACTTAGGTGATCTGACTTTCTGGGTTCTCGCTCTGACATTAAGTAAATCTCTTTAACCACTCTGGACCTGTTTCCTCATCTGGAAAATGAGGATATTTAGAGTCTAAGATATCTTGTCTGAATTTGAATGAGAGAAGGTGGAAAAATTCATTATATAAATAGAAAGAATATTGACCAGGTGTTATGTGTAAGAACATTTTCCACCCCCAACCCCCAACCAATGAACTTAGCACAAGAAAGAAAATATTTGCACAAAAGAAAAATGGCTTTCACTATTAAGGTCAGAGACATTGAGATGAAGACAGTATAATTAAGGTCTTACCATAGATAAATAAACCTATAGGCAATGAAATAGACTAATCTCTTAAGATGCCTTCAGGCAACATTATTTAAATTATCTATTTTTCTAAAGAAAAATGCTAAAATGGCTTGTAATATTTGGTGAAAAGAATCTATACATTTTATTTGTAAAGATATGTGGTAACTGATTATTTTCAACAATACGCAGACAGAAACTTTTGGCTCAGAGTCTAAACACAGGAAAGGCCCATTTTATAATCTTACCAGATTGGTCTTAAGAAGAGAATGGTAAAAATAAAGAACTGTAACTGATTCCAAAGAATAAACTAATTCAAAGTCTGACAGGCAAATCTAACAGCAAACATATGACAAAGGTATCCCCTCAACATACCAAATTTGCCACTGAGTGCCACATTCAATAAAATGTCAATTGCTTCTGGAGCTAATCCATTTTTCCAAGCCACATTTTCCACAGTTTTCAAGTGTTTTTCCAAAATTTTATCTTTACTTCGTGAAGTTTTAATGGGACCTGGAAAAAAGAACAATGTTAAATAGTGAGGCTTTCAAATTTCTTTCAGTTCTCAGCCTCAACAATTACAACTTGGAATTCCCTAATGGAATAGTTTTATGTAAAAAAATGTCTGTGTAATAAATGAATCTGATGCTGTCAAAAGGGACAGGTAGAAGGAAAGGGAAAAAAAGAATTGAGATGTTATGTACACGTACCAATTTTCCACAATGAATGTAATTATTGTGTACTGCAAACATGTACTAATAAAAAACTTTAAAAAATTTCTTAAAAACCCTTGAAAGTCTTTTAAAACTCTAGAACAGGTGAGCGTGGTGCCACATGACTTTAATCCCAGCACTCACCTGTAATCCCAGCACTTGGGAGGACTGCCATGAGTTCAAGGCCAGCCTGAACTACATAGCAAGACACTGTTTCCAAAAAATAAATAAATAAATAAATAAAACTCTACAATATTTAATAGCAATAGTACCTTCAGGGAGGAAAACCGAATCATGATCTAGCTTCCTTGCTCTAAGCTCAAAGCATTCAACTTCCAGGTGTGTCCAGCTTGTGGCCCAAAGGCTACTTGCTCTTTTTTATATTATAACAGCAAATATAAAAAAGGAAATTTTGTTACTTATCTACATTAACTATATTATGTATTTCGTATGCAGCCCAAAACAATTCCTCTTCAATGTGGCCCAGGGAAGCCAAAAGGTTGATTACATTATATATATTCTTTTTCAAAACTAGAACAATGGTTCCCACCCTGCTGTATATTGACTGGGATCACTAGGAAGCCTTTAAAAAGTCCCAATACAACCTGAACCCAATACCAAAAGAATCAGAATGTCTTAAGAGTGGATGCTAGGTATCAGTATATTTCAAAGATTCTCAGGTGATCACTATATGTGGCAGTTCGGCAACCTCTGCTGGGAAGATGTTTTGTGGTTGCATCTGTAGTACACTGCATACTGTTAGGTAGCAACTGCTCAATAAATGTCTATTAAGCAAACAAAAGTGTAAATGAGCAAAACTATGCTTTCCTTTTAAAAATCTTAAGGAAAAGACTGGAACATTTTTTTAAAACCAAAAATTGCATAAGGAAAACAATGTGCCTTTACCTTTCTCAAAGTATCCCACTGCTATTTGCAGAATGTCTTCAGCTTCATCATCCACATGTTCATGAGCTTCCACTGGATTGTTTTGTTTCCAGATATTTGAGTCACTTGGTTTCTCTTTTACTTTCCAGGCTGAGAGACTGGTTTGAAAAGTATCCCTACCTTGCGAAGTTCTTTTTTGTGCCTGGGAATTCTTAACTCTCTTTTGAGGCGACATTACTGTGTATGTTCTATACAGAAACATGTGTCAGGTTATCATTAATCAGCCAAATAGTCAATTTTTTCCTCCACAAAGACAGGGATCATATCTGCCTGCATTCCCACATTTAGTACATGGTACCTAACATATAACAGGCACGCAGTAAATAAGTTAACTATCTGGGAAACAAAACCTATAGGTTAGCTTTTTCAGAAAGCCCTTGATTTAAATAGAAATAGTAACAACTTGTCAAGGTAACATTTATCAGCTGAACCTTGGTCAATATAAGTTCACTCTTAGAATGACTACATCATATAAGCAAATCCAAAATTAATTCATCTTATGACTCAATCTTACATTCTCCACTCTTATTTTCTACATCCCTCTTTGGTTTTGTTTTTAATCTTTATGCACTCCTCTTCGTCAATGCTAGGTTAAAACTACATAGTTAAAAAGCCAAACTAGTGGCCTGACTAAGCATTCTCAGGACAGAAATATTTCCCTTGTATTACTTCATGTATTCAATAAATAACTACTTAAGATAATTTACTTGACAAGTATAATTCTAGATACCAGGGATAAAAAATAAAATAGTGAAGGCCCCCACATAAGGTGAGGGGAGCAATGGTGGGGAGTTAAGAGTTAATAAACAAGTAGGGCAGAGGATTTAGCTCAGTGGCACCGTGCCTGCCTCACAAACACAAGGTCCTGAGTTCAATCCCTGGTACCCCCCCAAAAAAGTTAATAAATAAGTAACTAATATTAAATATAGTGATGTGATAGAAATTGGATGCGGTGGGAATCTACTTTGAAATATGTGTTCAAACAAAGTCTCCCTGAGATGAGCTTCAAGCTGAGATTTCAGTGCCCAGAAGGAACCTACCATGTGAAGATCTGGTGGAAGGGTGTTTGAGGGGGAACATACTAAGCTGTTAAAATAAGAAAGAGCTTTGTGTGTTAAAGAAACAGCAACACCAGTGTGGAGAGAGTAGAGGTAAAGGGTAATGAAAGATGTTAAAAAAGGTAGCCAGGTACCAAAAAGAAATCAACCAATAACAAATGCTGGCGAGGCTGAAGGGAGAAAGGAACCTTCTCCATTGTTGGTGGGACTGTAAACTGATACAACCACTATGGGGATTCCTCAAAAAACTAAAACTAGAAATTCCACTTGACCCAGCTATTCACCTTCTAGATATCGTCTCAAAAGAGATATCATATCATAGTGATGTATGCATAACCATGTTCACAGCAGCGTAATTCATAATAACTGAATCTTGGAAACAGCATATATGTTCATCAACAGATGAATAAAAAAAGTGTGGCAGTCATACACACACTTCTCTGCCATAAAAAGGATAAACCTGAGTCATTTGTAAGAAAATAGGTGCACTTTGAGACCACAGTATTAAGTGAAGTAACAGACACACAACCTTAAATATCAGATGGTTTCTCTTACAGGAGAAACTCTCTCTCTCTCTCTTTCTCTCTCTATATATAACAAAATCAAAGACAGATAATAGGAAAAAAGAAAAAAAGTATTGTAATCTAGTGTGGATAATGTATCTAATAAGTTTTGGCTTCAAATGGGATAAACTTCAAACGATACTCAAACCCACCTCCCTAGAAACAAATGGGGCCAGAGCAGAAGGTTCCAGTTCTGAGATGTTTCCTAGACTCCTAGGAAAGAAGGAGGGAGGGGCAGTTTCTGATCCCATTCGGGTGAACCATCCCAGCGCTTCTCCAGGGTCATTTTCACAGCCTACCTCAGCCAAAAGCGAAACTGGCAAAGACGACCCACCCAGTAGGCAGAGGGAAAATTGGACCCTCAGCTATGCTTTACAGGGCAGATTCGCCCTCAGAGGCCAGGATAGCCCCTTTGATCTCAGGGATCCCCAATTAAGCGCAACACTATACCTGACACCCTCTTCGGCCCAGCAATCTCCGGTGTCCAAAAGCCGCCTCCAGGATTCAAAGGCGCGGGCCCCGCCCCACGCATGCGCTTCGGAGGAGAACTAGGTAGCGGTTGGGTAGAGCAGCGCCCTCTGCTGAAGTCTGATTGGTTGGAATAGAGCTCTAAGGCGGGAGGTGTCGCGCGCACCGGCAATGACGCAAACGACTTACGGAAGCTGCTTGCCCCACCCACCTAGGCTGGGGGCGGGCCTCGAGTTGGTCGTTGCGGTGGCGTCAGCTGTCTGGGTGGCGTTTTTCTTTCTGTTCTAATGATTGCTCTTCGTCATTTTTCGTAAAACAAAACAGTGTCTTGATTCTTGAATTTAACTTGATAAATTGTAGCGTTCATTTTGCTCAGGTTGACTCCAAATTCCGGACGTTGTAGGAAGAATGAAACCTCAAACCTCACTATAAAGGCGGCTTCTCCTTTACTGAGACTTAAAGGGTCTGCCCTCCTGTGAAGCTAGGTACGAGGAAAGAGCAGTTGAATCTGCCCTCCTTTTACAGAGGATGGATACAGATAACCTCCAAGGTTTTCTGGAAATTGTATCTTGAGCCAAATGTTGAGTCATCTCGAAGTTAGCTGGCTGTCAACATGTAAATATTCCTAAACTTGGAGAATTAATTGACCTTAAAGAAACTGGCTAAAATGGCAACAAGGGCTTAGTCTGAGACCTGAACTTATCCCTAATTTAAACTTATTAATAGGAATAAGACAGTAAACATACAAATGTAATGGCTCTCCCTGACTTGAGGCCAATACATAGCTGTAAACTAGGCAAAACTAGTGGGAAACTTCAATCTTAGAGAAAGATGAATAATCAAAGATTAAATTGGCGTACAGTATTTGGGAAAGACCCCAACATAAATGACTGTTTACTACATGTTTTATTTATATGGTTTTCAGGGTAGTTTTACGAACTCTTATTTAACATGCATGGAAAAATTCAAAGGACAACTTTTTCTATGATAGCTGCTCTTCGGTAAAACTGAAAATATATCGGATCATTTTCATGCTTTTAATAGACTCAGAGAAATGTAAACTGGAAGGGATTTTAAGGCTTCAATACCCGCCTTTTTGTAGATGGTGAAACTTAGCTAATTTATGGCACTTTGTGGACACATATTATGAGAGGTAGTGGTTTGCGTTTATTTAACATACGTTCAGTTTTCTCTGAAATAATGTTTCTGTTGTCCCTTGGCATCACCTAACTCCCCAAACCTGGCAACTGTATTGAAATCCTAACTCTATGGCTTTCTGTTTTATATGCTAACATTAAAAAGGTGTGAGGGAATTTAAGTGGGATTAGCAAATTGACAACTTCACTAGCATATTAAGTGATTACATTATACTCTCCCTTCTCTTTCTTCTCCTAATCCAGACTTAAGAAAAAAGAGGCTGTTTTTATTTGACCATTTCTTTCCAGATTCTTAGTATATATCCAGACAATTTTCTTCAAATTTCAAAAAAATTTATTTTGAAAGAACGAGAGAAATATCAATTACCAGGAACAATCACACTAAAGAAAATACAATAATAGGTACTCTCCCCACACATAGCCCCCTGCTCTTTCCCCCATCCCTAGCACAATAATTTAAAAACCATCAAAGCATATTTAACAAGGAGAAATAGCAGTATGTAATGAAAAAAACAAATGTCCATACTTCTCAATCCAACTAACCCATGTCAAATCTCCTTCCCCCAGCTAAACTCCACACGTGGGAATGATAAAAAGGTGGAGCAGAGACAACTACGGGAGTGATTTGGACTCTGCTTACACTAGCAAACTTCAGCAAATAATAGGAGTAGCGAATCTGTTTGGCAGGAAAACACTGGATACAGCACATCTGTCAAATTGCGGATGGTTTCAGAGACCAGCTAGTGTTTGAGATTCAGACTTCTAACAGGACCAACCTCTGCTCCCTCAACCACAACAGTGGATCAGCTGCCAAATCCTGGTTTGCTACTGAGAATAATGCAACTGAGACAGTCTTAGCCTTCAGAAAATCTGAAGATGTTTGGTAACACATCCACTGTTTCCATTTCAAACCTGTATTAATAAAAATGCTGAGTAGGTTGGGCTCAGACACAAATGAGGTGAAACTTTCTATTTTATCACTAAGAATTAGACTAGCTGCATGAATATCTTTTTAAATTAAATTTAAATTAAATTAAATTTTAAATTAAATTTAAATTAAATTAAATTTTAAATTAAATTAAATTTAATTTAATTTTGATGCTGGGGATTGAACCCAGGGCCTTCACAGTGAGCTTCATTATCAGCCCTTTTTAATGTTTTTATTTTGAACTGGTCTCACTAAGTCACCAGGTTGTTCAGGTTGGACTCAAACTTGCAGTCCTGCCTCCCAGAGGCAGGGATTGGAATTAAAGGCTTGTGCCATCATGCCTGGTGAATTCCTTGTTTTAATTATACTCTACACTGAATGTTGAAAATTTAACTGTTGAAATAGAGGCTAATTTTACACATAACTCAGGGTTTCAAGTCAAAGAGTTTCTTTCCTGAAGTGGTGAATTTAAGTTTTCAGCTTCATCTAGAGAGTAATTCTTCCCCACATGTAAATAGGTAATTTGTTTTATACCAAAAGTAGGATTCTCTTTACAGGTTTATTTTATTCTACCTTGCCTGGAATCAGTTTATAAAAGGAAGGATACCTGTGCAGGATTAGTTCAAGATGGATGAGCGCCTTCTAGACATATGTGTGCATACACACATACAGTAGGTATGTGTTTTTCCCACACATAGTCTCACGGTCACATGCTTGCTGGAGTCCATCTCACAAATACACTTCAATAGTAGCCATATACGTGTACATGTAGCAAGATGTGAGTGTTGCCCCAGGGTGATTAAAGGTGGTTCACAAATGTCAATGTGGGGAGGTTGTTTTGGGGTATAGATGTATATAAGCCAATTAAATTGCAGATTACACTTTCCCTTTTACCCCCAAGATAAATAAATCAAATTAAAAACACACACTGACATCTTCCCAGGTGTCACACAGGCAACTACCTGGAAGGTCCGCAGTTTGCACTTCCACTTTCCTATGACACCTTCACTTTGCCCTGAGGGGCCTTCTCATATAAGGAGGGTTGTTCCTCAGCATTCCTTGGTGAAGGCTTCTTCTCAGAAGACCAATCTTCAGGCTTTCGGGCAATCAGCAAGCGGCAGGTGAGTAGAATTCCAAACACCAGAGCATGGGCATAGCGCTTGAGAGGATCACCGACCAGCTGGTGGAAGAAGAGCACAGCCAGCACCAGAAAGAGTAGGCAGAAGTTGGCCACATCTTTGAGGCGTCCAGGAACAAGGGTCATGATGATGCCGCAGGCTACTTCAAGGGTACCAATACTTTTTCGGAGGAGAATGGAATTAATGCCCATTTTCTTCAGCAGAGGAAGGGCTCTGACATAGCTCTTGTAAGCACGTTTCTAGAGTGGGGATACCATAAGGAAATTACTGTATTAATGATGATTTTAACATTAGAATGAAGAAAACACAAGCAGAGGCCTCCTTCCCTACTACTGCCCTTCCACATCAGCCAAGGGTATCATGTTTTTCACTTTGTTCTCTAAATAATAGCCCTGTATTTAAGATAAAGTAAGTAATTTGATAGGATCCCTGTCATGTAAAATTTTGTAGCAGCATTTCTTTGGTTCAAATGTCTGTGTCCCCTAAAATTCATATTGAAATCCTAACCCCCAAGACAATGGTACTAGTAAATGGGACCATTGGGAATGATTGGGTCATTGGGTGGAACCCTTGTGAATGGAATTAGTGCTTTTAAAAAGGTCCCAGAGATCCGCCTTGCCCCTTCCACAACACAAGGACACAACCAGGAAGTACCATTTATGAGCCAGAAAGATGGCCCTTACCAGACTCCAAATTTGCTGACACTTTTATCTTGGACTTCCCAGTTTTTAGAACTTTGAGAAATCAGTTTTAGTTACTTATAAGCTAACAATTTGTGTTATTTTCTAAGAGTAGTCTTAATAGAATAAGACAAGCACCAAAGGTAGTAAACCAAAGAATTTGGCTTCATAGTTTTAAAATAGTTGCTGATTAAAAATCATAAACATTAAAAATTTAAAAGAAAATTCATTGGACCCATAAAAACTGGTTGGTGTTAGCCACATCCACGTTTTTAGTACCTGCCTTATCCAAACCCAGATGTATACGAATACCAAACAAAATGAAACAAGGCAATGTAAAATATGGTAAAGTCTCACTGATTTGGATTTCCCTAATTTGGAATCTGTGATATTTCAAAAAAAGAGCTGAGCTGCAGTTTTCATTTGTGGAATCTATAAAAATGAAAGAATTGCTGAGTGAATAGAAAAATAAAAATGTATGCAAGTATTACCCCTTTTGTGTCTAAAATACAGAAAAAACAGTATCATTCTAATGTTCACTGAGATAAATGTTAGAACTTTACCATACTTTGGTTAGCCTGGTTCCAGTTTATTAATTTTAATGCAACAAATATTTATTGAACATCTACTATGGGTTATACATTAGAGATACAGAGATGACTAAGGATTAAGAAGCCTTCAGTGTGGTGAGGGGAAACAGATGTGTAAACAATGGTATATTAGGAGTAACAGGAGTGGGGGTACAGGAGCAGGAGTAACTCAATTTAAGGTTTATTGAATTATGGTATCTCTAAGACATCCAAGTGGAGATAAGTGGCAGACAGCTCAGGTAGAAGTCTGGACTAAAGATCAGTTATGGTTAATCATCAGTATGCCCAGGGAGGGAAATGGTGTGACACACATTTAAGAAATGGGAAGAGAAAGCAAGTCCATAAAGCAGACAGAAAAAAGTATAGTCAAAGAAGTGGGAGGAAAACCAGGAGAGATAAGGTCTTGGAGGGCAAGAGGAGTTTTAAGAATAGACTAGTGGGGTTGGAGGTGCACTTTGGTTAGAGGGCACGTGCTTAGCATATGTAAGGCCCTGGGTCAGTCCTTAGTGTATGCACTCATGTGTGCGTGTGTGCATGTGTGCATGTGTGTGTGCGTGTGGATGCACACACACAGGCACCACATGCAAAACATTACAGTTGGCTTTCCAAATCTACAGTTTCTGCATATATGGAGTCAACCAACTGCAGATTGAAAATATTTGGGGAAAATTACATCTGTATGAACATGTACAGACTTTTGTCTTTTTATTTCCTAAGCTATATATATATATATAATTTACATAGCATTTACATTGTATTAGATATTATAAGTAATCTAGATATGATTTAAACTACGAGAGGATGTGCATAGATAATATGCAAATAGTATGCCATTTTATAGAAGAAACTTGGGCCTCCAAGGATTTTGGTATTCTTAGAGAGAAACCTAAAACTAAGTCCTCATGGATAAAAAGGAGTGGGTTATAGTATAAGAATCAGACAGAAAGCCAACTTGACTTCTCAGAAGGACTGGCATTTAGAATAGTCCACACACTCTAGTTTCCAAACAAAGACCTTTCTCTTACTTTTTGTACAAGTGATGCACCTTTATTTCATGGATTAATGATTGTGAATGGCACAAAATAATCTTTTATGAGGAATGTTAGAAGACTGGTGATTTAGTGAAAAAATCCACATCAACTTAGCTTCAAATTCCATCCCTGCCACTTTCTAGTTGGATGTCCACAAGCAAATTATTTGACCTCTCTGAGTCTCATTTTCCTGAGCAGGGTGAGGACTATGTGAAGTAGGTGAGGCTACTTGCCTTGGCTGCAAAATTTAAGAGGGCAGCAAAAACACTAATTAATGAAGATAAATAGTATCCATGATAAACAAAATATCAAGATTTTAAATAAAGACAGGTACTGACTCTTCTATTGCATGACCCTCCCTCACTTAACTCTCCCTAATTCCTGCTCTTTCAGAGACTATTTAAAATTTCACGGTACCCTGGTCCCTACCTTGTTTCTGAGTATATAATACCAAATGTTAGTTCTTCCTTTTTTTCTTCTCATCTTAGGTTAAATGGCAGATTTTTCTGACAGAAATTAGGAGAGAGGTTGGCTAGTAGGCAGAGTAAATCATAGGCTGAACCAAGTGGACCAGAGCCAAGTTGAGCTGAAGGGTAAAAGGTGGTGGTAACAGGCCTGCCCCTTTCCTCTCACTATTAACCTAGATACATACCACGGGTACACACCCACCTCCTCTGCACTCTGGTGATGGTAGCAGGGGTACAGTAGGGAAAGAAGTCTGAACCCCAGAGGCTTCCTTAACTCTTTTAAGTAAGGACCATTTCTAATTAGCAACACAAAGTTTCTCAAGGGGCAATTTCTAAATTCTAAGTATAAGCTTCTGAGTGATGAACACAGGAGGCAAGATGAGTTTTTACAGTCAGTTTGCAGCCAAGACTTCCAGATGCTGGCTGAGTGGCTTCTGGTGACTTCATTTTTCATGAGGGCTAACCACTCATTAGTCAAGATTAGATTCTTCTATACTGTACATACACTGTAGTGGAATCTGCAATCTGGGGCCAAATTCCAGGTTTTTAAATCAAGTTTTTTATGACTTCCGTGATCTTTTCCTCTCAATTTTGTTTAACTCCACACTCTCTTTTCTACTGCAGCTGTGGATATTTTTATGCAACTGTTGTCTCTTTCTTTCAAGAGGAAATTACATGTGAAAATGACATTTCGTCAAATCTTTAGTTCTAAACTGAGTAGGTACAAATAGGATCTATTCTCCAGGACTTCAAAAAGGGAATGTATAGTTTGTTAGGGATGTGCCTAAGCTTGGATGGGACTTAACATTTATGGGAAGCCCTTTATTCTTGTGGAGTAGGATAGGGACACCAAAATAGAAAATACTACTGTTGTCAGCCCCGTTACTATGCTTGGTCCAGGCCACCTCAATTCTAACAATAAAAAAGTCACCTGTCTTGGGTCTATAGTAACTGGGTCCCTAAACACTTAAATAGTATTGGTAATAAGAATAAAGAAGGTTAACCAATTTGCTTTCCCATAAAGCTCTTACAATTCACTTTATTTGGTCTGCTTTCTTTCCTTTGAAATGATACAGATCCTCAAACCATAGCTTTCTTAAGGGGAAAGAAGTAGGAAAGTGAAGGGCTTAGTCAAATATTTAAATCCTTGTTATCAAAAGGAATCATCCAGCAATATCCTTGGACTGGAATTCCTAAAATGAGTTAAATTCCAATTTTAGTTTTTCCTTTTCCCCTACATTGCTTGGAGAAAATTAGTATTTTATTACCTCACCTTCCCCTTTTGTAAATTAAATGAGCATTTTGTAGATTAGACAAAGAATCTGGTACGTTACCATTAACCAAAGTATGGGCACACACACACAATTTATCAATAATGAACCGCACAATTTGAAATAGATACATTTGCAAACTGCAGTAATTATTTTATTGATAATGATGATGAATCAAGTAGGTCCATTCTTGTGGTATGAAACATATGATTCAGACATGAGTCAAAAGTATATGGAGAATTTCTTTAGTCATAAGTTTTGAAAAACACTTTTTGTTGTTTCTTCTTCACAATGCCCCAGGGACCATGATCTCACATTAATGATATTAAACTTAGCTCAAAACTGTCAAATAATATTCACCTTTGATCACAATTAATAACCAACCTAAGCCAGCTAACAAGACAAAATGGAAACAGAAGGTAAGTGGTATTATCTACTTTAATTCATCTATGCCAATTAGGTGAAAGAAGAAAATAATTGAGCTACTATATTGTGAAATATACTTAAAGTTCAAAAACAGGTAAAATTAACTTGTATTGGTGGAAATAAGGATACTTATTAGCCTTGGGCTCTGAGCTGGTGTTCTGGGGTTACTACTCATGTGTTATTTGTTATGGATACCTGGTTACACAGGAGTACTCTGAAAAATTCTTGTACAATTATGAGCATATTTCAGCATATATGTCATACTTTAATAAAATTTATAGAGAAAAAGCTATATGAAAGCAGAAGATGGTACTAAAAACTATATTTGACTAAAATTCTCAGCCTGGTTGCTATTTAGACCATAAAGCCTACATCAGCATAAATTTACTGACTCGTGCATTATTTTACCAAATCTTTGTAGGAAAAATAAAGCTATCTCTGAATCATAAATCATTGTTTAAATGCAATAAAAATCCCATCATATATTTAATTGGCAAATATCCAGATGAATGATAAACATCTTTTAACCAATTCTACTTTACATTCTCATTTAATGCCCACCTAAAGTGGAAGTTGGCAAGCCTGGTCCTATTAAGTGGATCCTTTCCACATTGCATCTTAGGGCAGAAGAGTGCTTTCTACTCTCTGCCAAAGGTCACTCTGAAACAAACTCAGCTGTTGGCCATACTGAGAGTCCACAAGTTCCCCGACATAAACTCTGATGTATAGCTGAGCTCATGATGGCTAATTGCATGAACTAAGCAAAGTCACTTCACATCTCAGGGTCTCAGTTTCCTCTCTAAGGGAATAAATGTACTGTACCACCTCAGAGGGCAGTCTGAGTATCAGTGAATTACTACCTTATTACATAGTTGACAAGCAATTAATGGCAGTGATTGGAAGCTTAAAAGATTGCCTATGAAAACTAAATAAACTGCTTAAGTATACTGGGAGTATTTCTCCAGGGTTATATAAATAGGAGGGTTTTAACTACAGATAACTAAATCAGTCAAATCAACAAACCTTTACTATGAGAGGATGCAAAAAAAAAAAAAATTAGTAGCTTGCTCCATTATCCTCAGGGCCAAAATTCTTTGGCTTCTTTGTGACAGAATTTTGGTGTTTTCTAATAATTCCATATGTAGTCCCCCTGTGGTTACAGAATGGAACCATTACTATAGAAAGCTGAATACCAAATTTAATGCAAGTTAACCATTCATATGTTCCCAGTCACTGAACAAAAACATACTTAGTAGCAACTGTAAAGTACTGTCTCCCAATTCAAGTAAATTAATGCAGACATTTAGTTAAAGGAGTGGCTCATCATTTTGGACTCATGTGGAATTTAGAGTATTCTATAATAATATTTGCTTTTTCTTGGCTGGGCACGAGTGCATGCCTGTAATTCCAGCACTTGAGAGGCTGATGCAGGGGGATCACCATGAGTTCGAGGGTAGCCTGGCCTACATTTGGAGTTGAATTCCAGCCTGAACAACATAGCATGACCCTGTCTCAAAAAATCTAATAATAATAATAATAATAGGTTATTCTGAAGAGGGTATGAGACAACATAGGCCAAATGGACTATTGAGAGATGCATCTACTGATTCTACATGGGATCCCTGTATATTGCACAACAGCAAATTGACTTTTCAATATTAGTTGATTGTGCATTGTTCACCAGTGCATACAAAATTAGCATCTTGTTCTTCTAAATGCTTGATTTCAATCCCTTAAACTGACCATTCAAATTAATTGGAAAACCGCTGCATAAAATAAAATCAATTTCATCATCACCTCATCCAGAGCACTTCTTCAACCCCCACTATAGTAAACACTGCACCAGACACTTTCATATGCAATCTCAGTTCATATTTACAACTTTCTAAGATAGGTATCACTATTCTCATTTTATGAATAAGGGAACTGAGACATTAAGAGTGTCAGGACTCAGACTCAAGTCTGTATGAATCCAAAGGCTGCAGTCTTTCCACCAACATTTCCTGGCTTCTCCCATAGAGCCAGGGAAAAACTTCATAGTCATTTGTCTGTTTGGTTTTTAACAGTGATTCCCCGTGGGGGGAGTAACACCTAAGCATAACACTAATGGGTTTACAACAAGGGAAAGTGGCAGAAAAGCAAAAACAAAAACTAAATTTAAAAAATTGGTTCTGAAGCCAGGAGTGGTAGCACATGCCTATAATTCCAGCACTCTGGGAGACTGAGGCAGGATGATTGCATCTTTAAGCCCAGCCTGGGCAACTTAGCCACTTAGTGAGATCTGTCAAAAATGTAATGTAATAAAGGGGTGGGGATGTAGCTCAGTGTAAAAGCTCTGGGTTCAATCCCTAGTACCATGCCCCTCCCCCAACAAAAATGTTTCTGAAGTAAAACAAACCCCAAAAATATATATTAGGGAGTCGAACTGATACAGAAAAAGGAGGTAAGAATGTGCAAGATATTTTCAAGGATCAATTGTAGGTTTTGGCATCCAGAAAATCCAAGAGTTTCAACCATTAATGACCCCATTACTGGAAGTATTGAGTCATGGACTTGCTTTCTGATCTCTGCTCCAGTAGCTTACCTATGACCTTGGGTGAGTCATTAAACCTGTTGTGCTTCAGTGTACCTGTTAGTAATAGAAGAATAACTACTAAAAATGAATCTACTCACAGAAATGTTTTAAAGAACAAATAATCTTTAGAAAAATGACAACAGCAGCAACACTTTGAGAGCTTATGAGAAAAGCCACTGCAGTGCCTGTCAATGCAGAGAAATCACTCCTAAATGGAAAACAGAAATTCCAGACAATCATCCCAACTGAGGGACTGTCCTGAGGTTCTGAGGGACTGTTGGTCCTTCCAAAAAGCAAGAAATGGCTTTTGAACTGCATTATCAAGAGCAAGCCAGGAAAATCTGAGGCTGACTAGCTAAGGCAATGCTAGAGTGACATTAATTTACCCATCCATTCTGCAAATATATATATATATATATACACACACACACACACATATCACTTTCTTTGTACTAAAACTGAACCCCCTACTTTCCTATGGGATAAAGAAGAAAGCTGGGCCAAACCTAGGCACTATGCACTGGCCTGATGCTCAGTGCAGGAGGGACCCTGAAAAAGTGCAGTTTGAAAATCCTCTTCAAGCTTCATACCACTGTGCCACCTACCTCCCAGTTAGCTATAGTCTTTCCATTCCCTCCAGCTGCCCAAGCAGAGAAGCATAAAATGTACATCCCTGGTACCAAAAAAAAATGTGCATACACACACACACACACACACACACACACAATAGGTCTATACTGCTGTATTAGATTATAATTATTTAAGTATATTTCTGTGTATGATATGAAATCTTCATGTTTATTTTTTTTTCTTCCTCTTCTTTTTTTTTTTTTTTTGATTAGGCTGCAATAGACAGTTCTACTCCCTAGAGGAAACCTACTGTAAACTCATTTGTGGCTGGTCCTCTTCGTGAGCTCCTGCCAACCTGGTAGGAAGCTTCCCGGTGACTCCATCTTAGTTGGATTGCCTGCACAGCCTAGCACTGTACTTAGAGTGCCTCTTGAGGGGGTGGGGGCTCTAAGGCAGCTGAGCAAGGTCTAGAGGGCAGGGAGTATACCGAAGAGGGTACTGTGTCCCTAAGGAAAAGGAAAGCTTAAAAACAGTATAGTGTATACAAATATAATTTATATATGAAAAATAAAGCACAAGCACATTCATTTATTTATAATCTAACACTAAACTACAACCAAGACAAAAATATAATGACATTTTATTTGCACTCTGTCATTCTGCCCCAGTTCCTTCAATCCCTTTGGTAGCTTCTGCTACCTCACACCCCCTACCTCAACCCCCCACCTATGCATGATGCTGGAGATACTTATTTTGACCTGATTTTAGTTCCATCTGGTTAAACATTCTAGGAGGAGCAGAGGAAAGAAGGAGAAGTATATTAGGATTTGCCACTAGGGCTATTCCTAAGCCGTTGAGTCCCAGCTACCCTCCCCCACCCCAGGGTGATCCTGTGGTAAAGAAGCAATGGAGAGTTCAAGCTCAAATCCTGAGACAGAATCCAGAGCTGCCTGCTAACATTTTCGGGGCATCTACCATTTGCCAGTCTCCATCCATTTGCAGCTCATGGGGAGGGGCCCTGGTAAGCTCTGCAGTAAGTTCCAGGAGAGGCATTAATTCCTCTTAACATGTAAAGCTATTCTTCCCTGCCCCAGCCCTAACAGGGACTTGCTGTTGCTCTTTTTTCTCTCCCCTGTGCTCCTTCCCAAAGCTCATTTCCTTCTTGACCTTGAGAGCCCCATAATGTGCTCCCTCCCATTATTGGAAGTCTGGAAAAGGCTTTGAGCAGGTTCCCTCAGCTGGGGCTGGGAAATGAAGAGGCAAAGTGACAGGGCGAGAGACCGAAAGTGCTGGAAACATCCCTTGCTGTTTCCTGGTACCCCACAACATAAGAGCAAGTCCTCATCACACCCTGAGGGAAGCAGCCCAGCCCCATGGTTGCAAAGATGTTTTGTCCAGTCACCTTCGGGTGATTTCTACTCTGCAGAGGGGAAACCCTGCAGAGGGCCTGGCCCTGGGCATCCACAGGCGGCACAGTGGGGATTATGGGCTGTTTTTCAGGAGAGAAAAGGAAGACTTTTCAGATTTTGCAGATTTGCCTACACACAAAGCAAAGTAAAACAAAGCATCCAGCTCTCTCTTGGGAGAAGGGGCAGAAGCCAGAGCTCAGTGACCTTTATTTGAGCTAAAACTGCTTTGTCTCAAGGATCCAGATATGTACCCAGGTGATTAGAGGAATACTATGGACTTTATGCCTGGGATGACTATCATGCCAGCCCTTACAAATTTCTTGTTTTAGTAGCCCTTTTTTCTCAGCTCTTCACCTCTTTACCTCTGTTCCTCCCTAAAATAAACTCTCTAGCTTGCTGAACTCTTAGTTCCAAAAGAAAGGATCAGACTTTGCAGACTGGTGGCCTGGACTTTGGGTGTGTGCTGGAAATAGAGAAGGGCTCCTGCCGCAGGTGCTGCGCAGGTCTCAGCATTCAGGTTTACTTGTGGTTGGTGGTACTCGCTGGGCAGCCCCTCCCCCAATTGGTATTCAGTGGCTCCGAAACAGTTTTTCCCAGCATAGCCTGGAAATGAAATTACTCTTGTCTGGCTGCTCCTTCTAAGCTGCAAACTTGTTGGGGACAAGAGAGGACCTGGGTTGGGGGTAGAGGTTAAGGGAATGGGACCAGAGATGGTGAAAGAAGGGGGGAGGTACTCGCAATGCCGTAGGGGTGCGCTCCTCAGCACCCATTTGCCTCACTTACCATCTCACTGTAGGCATCCTTGCTGAGCCTCGGGGTCAACTTGATAGTCCCCATGAAAACAAAGAAGAGTCCAAGAGCCACTGAGAGGGCTACGATAGTTACGGTTCTGGGGGATGCCATGGGGTCACCAAGGCAGGTCCCAACTAATCCTTCTGCTTTGCGCTGGCAGTTAGCACTGGGAGAGCTAGAGGGACGCTGCGGAGGCAGCAGGCAGCTAGAATGACAAAGGGAGAGCAGGGAGCGCTAGAGAAAAATTGAGAGATCGAAATTCAACCACTCTCACTACAACACTCGCTGGGTCCTAATGCCCTACGCTTGCACTTCGCAGACCAAAAGGACAGTCGGTCCAGAAGTTAAATGAAACCCTAAACTGAGGTGAGAACTTCAAGTCTTAAGTGGAGAGAAGATAGCTCATGCCTCCAGTTCAGTCACTGAGCGGCCCCTAAATGGGGGAATTCAGGAAGATGTGCTTTTAACCACTTCTCACTAGGCACACGTTTCATTTTCTCCTCTCACCTAGCCTCTTTTAGTATTCAGTTCCTTTTATTCACCTCTCCCTTTCTTTTTGTTTCTTTAATCAAAACGTTAGTTCTGAAAGAGTCCTTTGATGTCTGATGTTGGTAACAGTCAAGGATAAAACTGCAGTTGCCAGGTTTGATTACAGCTGAAGAGGGCTTTATTTTCCTCCTCCTTAAAAGCTTTTAATGGTCCCCATTGGTCAGTGCTTAACTGCAGTGTTTAATATGGCATTCAAAACTCTCCACATTTTGACCTGTCTCTCTTTGAAGATTTATCTTTTGATAGCTACCACTGCTGCATGCCACCCCTCATCTATCTACTTATTCATGGCTCCATATTTCCTGAGCTTTACTACCACTCCTAACTTTATTCATCACTACTTCCCATCACTCTTCATTAGCATTCAAACTTTTCTCCAGTGTCCCCTCCTTTATAAAGTCTTTACTGATCCATTCCCAGCCACATATGACTTCTTCCTCATCCTATTTTCTATGACAAAGCACAATATTTATTGACCCTTCAGTAAGTGTGAAACCGTATCCTTTGCTTGAATTAATTCATTTAATCTTTCCAGGAACACCTTAAACTAAGTATGACTCCCCATTTAATGGATGGTAATATTGAGGTGCAGGGAAGTTAAGTAACTTGTTCAATAGTAGAGAGCCAGGATTAAAATCTGGACAATCATTTCTTTATTATTACTGGTAGTAGTACATGTTTGCAGTACATAATGATGAAATGCATAACAAGGAGTTGATACATGAATACAACACATCTTAATTCTTTTTATTTCCCCTTCCCTTTTCCTCCCCCCACAGTCATTTCTAGAGCCCAAGCTCTTAAGTTTTGCTCTGTGCTTCTCCTATACTATTTTGCAATATTAATATGGCACTTACCATTTACCTAATATTGCTTAGCGCACGCGCGCACACACACACACACGAGAATAAATATGATCAAAATGTGTTGCATGCATGTGTGAAAATACCACAGTGAAACCCAATATTTTATTTTAAAAGGACACTAATAAAATATATATTAAAAAGAAAACAAATTTCATACATGCAAATTGCCTAGCAGTGTCTGATATGTAATACTTCAGTGAATGTAATCTCTTCATGCTTCTTCTGCCTTCCTTATCCACTTTATAAATCCATTAGATTATAAGCATTTTAAGGTAGAAATCGCTTTGATATATTCCCCATAGTACCTCAAATAATGCTTTTATATATGTATATATATATTTTTATATATAATCTCCAAGGGAAGGGGATGGGACTGATGAATTTAAATGCAAATACTTCTGAGAGTTGTAACACTAAGATTTAATAATTATTTGCATTTATGTTGGAACAATTTCAGACTCTTTCCTGATTATAAAACCTATAAATTATGGAGTGCCTACAATGTACACGTAAGTGAGTTAGACTCTGTAGGACTATACAGTTAAATGAAGCATAGGCTGCTCCAATGGATTTGTTATTACATAGTAGAGTAAGATTTCTTAGAGCAGAAAGAATTTTTTTTCATATGTATATAAAAGAAAAACTGGAAAGAATACACCAAAGTAAAAACTTTTTCTTTGTACTTTGCATTCCAAACATCCTACACTGAATATGGCAGTAAAATGAGCACCTAGGGAAGTCTATTCACACAATTAAGCAACTGATCATTATATGTAATGTTTTTCCTTTCAAAGTACATGATGGATTAATACCTATTCATTATAAAAATGTGTAAAATACTACATAAGGTAAAATAAGTCATAATACTGCTTTAAATAAATAAACATTATTTTTATTGATCAATATTTTAATTGACCTTTATCTTTATTGATTCTCTATGATCAAAATGTATATAAATTACTTTTTCAAAATATGATACTAGTCAGTTTTATACTCTGGTTTTATCCACTTATTAGAATTTTTCTTTGTCATTAGACTATCTTCAAATTCAAATAATTATATAATACTTTATCATTTAAATGTATTCATGTATTTTCTGATTGCTAGATACTGAGGTTGTTTCCATGGTTTTTGCTTTTCAAATAAGTATGTGACATACATCTTTCTGTGAATACTTGAATTTTTCCTTAGGCTAAATTCCTAAAAGTTGAATGTGTCAAAAATGATGAACTTTCATATATCCATATACATATTTTTATTTAATATATATCCATGTTTATTTTAAAATAATGACTTTAAAATAATATCTAACATTTACTTATCACTTACAAGATGCTATGCTAAATGACTTGAATGTATTGTGAAATTAGTACTATTAATTTTCTCCATTTTGTGGGTGAAAAAGTCTAGCAAGGAGTGGAATAGCTCCCTGAATCCAAAGCAAGGCCAACACTTGTTAGAGCATTCAAACTTAAACTCGTGCTGTTTCTTAGTTTGCAGCTGCTTTTTAAATTCATTTAAAAGATTTCAATGTTTAAGACTCTTGATACACATTCCCAAAGTGTTTTTCAGGAAGAAAATGTACCCTGCCATCAGCTGTTTAGGAGAGTGTGGGATCATGACATCAGCTCTGCATTAGGAATTTTAGTGTGTTTTTCATCTTCACCAATTTCATTCATTTAAAAAGTTTGTATTTCAACTATTACTAACGTGCTTAACATTTTTCATGTATTTCTTGGTCATATATATCATCTTTATGTCTTTTTTCAATTTTTATTTTGAGTATTTGGTGTTTTGATTGATTTATAAGAGTTTTTTATATTGTACTCATATTAATCATTTATTTTAAATATTTTCCCAGTTTGTGTTTGCCTATAAATCTGTAAAATCTAGCAATACTTTTATAATGTTCCCATTGCTTTTATGCTTAAAAAATTCTTCCCAATCTCAAGATTAAACATTTGTCTATATTTTACTAAAACTATTTTATGAATTCTTTTTGTTTACATTTCACATTGTTGACTAATTCTGTCCTCATTGATTTATGATTCTTCCTTTATTATACATTAAGTTCTATCCTTTTAGCTGGGTCAGTTTCAAGGCTTTCTCTTCTGTCTCACTGAATTATTTGTTGATTCATGTGATGATACTACAATGTTTTATATAACTTAATATATTTTCATATCTTATAAGACAATCTCCCATCATTATTACTGTTTTTCAAAAATTTCTTTGCCATTATCTCCTATTTACTCTTTTAGGTCAACTACAGAATCATTTTACCAAGGTGAAATGGCTTTGAATTTTGACTGGGTTAAATTTAAATAGATAAGTAATTTTTAAGATTTGTTGTCTTGTAAAATTTAGTTTCCTCATCCAGAAATAAGGCATTAATTTCCTTTTCTTCAAATGTTAGTTGCTCAAAGACATATAAATGTCCTTGCTTCCTTTTTTTCTTTCATTAAGTTTATTGGTACATTTTAGGTATAAAATACAATTGGCTTCCTTTCTTTTTAAAAGTTTTATCTTATTTTTAATTGACAAATAATAATTATATTTATTTGGTATAATGCCATGTTTCCATACTTGTATACATTGTAGAATAATCAAGTCAAGGTGAATAGCATATCCATTGTCTCAGATATTTATTTCTTTTTTGGTAAGAACACTTAAAACTCCTTTTTTTTAAAGTTATTTTGAAATTTACAACACACTATTATTAACTATAGTCACCTTCCTATGCAATAGAGCATCAGAACTTGTTCCTCCCATCTAACTGTAACTTTGTACCAGTTGACCAATGTCTCACTTTCTCTATCCATCCCTCCACTTCAAGCCTCTGGTAACTACCATTCTATTCTCTAGTACGAATTTGACTTTGACTTCTCTTAGACATCACCTATAAGTGAGATTGTATGCTATTTGTCTCTCTGTGACTGGTTTATTTCACTTTATATTAACTAGGCTCATTCATGCTGTCACAAATGACAGAATTTCCTCTTTTTGTAGAGGCCAAATAGCATTCCATTGTATATTCCATTTAAAAAATCTACTTATCCAGGGCCGGGGGTTTAGCTCAGTGGTTCCGCCACCTGCCTCGCAAGCACAAGGTCCCGAGTTCGATCCCCCATACCAAAAAAACCCCCCAAACAAACAAAAAAAATCTACTTATCCATTTATGAACACTTAGATTGGTTCTCTGTCTTAGCTATTGTGAATAATGTTGCAATGAACACCAGAGCATCTTCAACATATTACTATCAGTTACTTTGGGGTATACAGTAGTGGGATTACTGGGTCATATGAAAATTCTTTTTATTTTTTGAAGGCACCTCTATACTGTTATCAAAATAGCCATACTAATTTACAATACTGTACTAGTCACAAGCATATAAGAGTTTCCTTTTCTTTACATCCTCTCCAACACGTATCTTTCATCTTTTTGATAATGGTCAACCTAACAAGTATGAGGTGATATCTCATTGTGGCTTTAATTTGCATTTCTCTGATAATTAGAGATGTTGAGCATTTTTTGAATTTCTGTTGGTTATGTGAATATATGTATATTTTCTATTTTTGAGAAATGTCTATGCAAGTCCTTTACCCATTTGTTATTATTATTTTCTTTGCAGTGCTGGTATTGAATCCAGGGCCTCTCACATCCTATGCAAGTGCTCTACCACTGAGTTACAGCCCAAGCCCATGCTCACTTTTAATTTGGTTATTTGTTTTCTTATTTAATAGTTTGAGTTATGATTTGGAAATATTTTCTTCCAATGTGGGGTTTCCTCTTCACTCTAGTATTCCTTTACTGTGCAGAAGCTTTTAGTTTGACTCAATCTCATTTGCCTATATTTCCTTTTATTACCCATGC